AATAAAGCCAGGATCATGAAATATGAAATGGGAAGTTCATCCAATTAAGCCTCCTGGAAGTAATGTGGGATGTCTTCATTTGCAGCAAGCATGATAAAGGTAGTGTGATAAAGGTAGTGTAATCCGGAAAAGCACCAGACCTCGGGACAGGCTACCAAGGTTTGGATCCTAGCTTTAGCTGTGGACTTTGAGCAAATCATCTAACCTTTGTGGGTCTCAGTTTCATCATTTGTAAAATGAAGCAAGTTAGGCTAGATGATTTCTAAGATGTCTTTTAGCTTTGAAGTCTAATATTCTAAGACCTCACAAATTCTACTGTGTCTGAAAGTTGGCAGTGTGTGGTAGCGGGATGGTGAAGGAAGATATAAAGATGCTGGAGAGAATGCCCCAAAAAGAACAGTGTCCAAAGCTTTCCTCTGACACACACTGGCTGTGTGACCCTGGGCAAGTCACTTAACCTTTTCCTAGGAAATTCTCTAATAAAATAAGTGCAGAGCCCCTGCTGACCTACACTGGAACTCCAAATAGGCAGACAGGTAGATAAATAGGTAGATAGATATAGAGATATTTAGATAGATGATAGATATTTAGATAGAGATATTTACATACATGCATGCATACATACTACAGTAATTCTTCCCAGGTTGGGCTTCTCCTGGGTCCTTGAGCACAATTCCTTAATAAACAGCTCTCCTTATGGAGTATCTCCCAAGGGCCAGCCACATTGCCCATCTTCTTGCATTATTGCTTCACATACAGACTGACCTGTGCTTGGAGGAAGGCAGAAGTTGTTCCAAATACACCAATGGGTCTTGGAAGACACAGCTCTCACTTTCAGAGAAGATCAGAGATCAACAACTAAACACACAGTCAGGGAAAGGAAGCAGAATGTGGACTAGAGGGATAGGGGGTGGGGTGAGGGTCTCCAGACTACTCATGAGCCATTAATGAGTGTCCCTACTGGTTAATGTGATCCCAGCTGCCATTTCTGTCTGGTTCACCCAAATGATCAACTCCCCATAGCCACTCCCCACTCAGAACCCTGAGTTCATAGGGGGGAAAAGCAAGCAAGTTCTTTGAAGTGAGTTTGAGTCAGTCCTCTAAGCCTCCAGGGAGGCAATCTCAGCCTAAACAGACCTGAATCATAAGCCCCTTGTCTGCATCGATGACCCCGTGAGGGTGAAGGAGGGTCAGGGATAAAGGACTGGGAGGGAGGAAGAGTTAGGTGCCTGGCCCCACCCAGTACCGAAGAGAAACATGTATTGCCTAAATCATTTCACGGAGCCCCCTTTTCCCTTCTCCTTCCTAGCCTCTCCAACTCAGTTTCAATAACATAAAGATACCTTGGAGTCAGGAAATAGGGAGTTAGAGAGCTCTTTGATAAAAGGACTAGCAAGGCAGTCAATGGACTATTTTTACAGCATCTTTCATTGCTTCCCTTTTTCCCTGGAGCAGAGGGAGAAAGATATAAGTGGCCTGGCATCCTGGGAGTGTCCAGTTCCCCAAACAGATGGACCCACCCTATTGCCTTTCAAAAAAAAACCAGTTGCTGTTTGGGGTTCCTAAGAGAATTATGCCAATCAATTCATCCCTGGGGAGGAATAAAGTAAATTGATTAATGACGAGCAAGTTGGGCAAAGCTTGCATACCAGCTATATTCCCTCCAAATAGGACCCAGGTTCATCTAATTCCTGGAAGCAAATGACTCAGACACTTCTGGGAGGTGGCTAATGTCTCCTCTAAAGAAAAAATGGAATCCTTCCACTCTCTCTGAACAGTCAAGGCAGTAGAACCACGGCTTGCTTCCTCCCTTACCTCCTAGGAACAAAAGGATGGGACCTAGGACAGATACTGGATACTAGGCTCTGGGAACATCCAGAGGAACAAGGAATTAGAAAGAATAACAGATGGACCCAAAAGAGTTGATTCAGTGAGGAAAGCATTTAACTTGGAGTCATGAGACCTGAGTTCAAATCCTAACTGCTTCTTGCTACCACTGTGAGTTTGGGCAAGTCATTAAATTTCTCTGGTTGGACTGTGGCCTCTCAGTCTCCTTTCACCTCCAGATCTCTGATACTTGCATGGTTGGGACCTTTGGGTTTGCTTTTTGACAACAGTAGTTCAAAAAATCAGTTGACAGGAGCCAGATAAACCAGAAACACCAGCTTCAATTAACCCAACCACGTTTTCCAACCTAGATACCACCGGGGAAATTGGTCTTTCATTTGGGAAACTTTTCTCAGGAGTGGAAAGCCACAAATCCTGGGGAGTCGACTTTCAAGAGAGGAAACTAGCACTAGTAGTCTGTTAGCACTATGCATCGAACTCCCCGGAACTTCTGGTATGAGGCAGCTGGTAGAACCCGAGGAAGGAAGAAACCCAGTCCCTCTATTTAGGAATCTCCCAGTGTGGTGGAGGTGGAAGAATACACATGTATTTACATATAAATACAAGCACCAGCAATAAAACCCACACACAAGCAAGCAACAAGTAGTTTCAGGCATATAGCAACCTACATGTGTAATTGGAATCAATATTTGGAGTGGTGAGAGGGTTGGGGCCACATAGATCTCAATGGAGTAAGCTAAGCTAGAGTGGGAAAGTCCCCTAGAGGAAAGCCCTTTAAAAACAGAAGAGTTTAGCAGAGAAGGGAAAACTTCCAAGGAAGAGGGGTTTATGTAGCCTTGAAAGAGCCTTAGAAAAGGAAAAGGGAAGCAAAGCACCATATCCAGTAAGAGCAGATTGGATTGACTGTGGCAAAACAAAACAAAGCCAAAAAAAACCTTGATCTGAGGGGAGAACAAACAAGGTAAAAGAAAGAGAAGTGCATGGTGCAAAATCTCCATACTGTGGTGGAGAATTTCAGTTTGAGGTAAGAAGGCAGCACCAGTCTTCCAAGTTTCTTGGAGAATTGTAAAGATGTAATCATTGAGGCTGTAGCCCCAGAAGGAATCCATTCCATTTGCAAATGGCTCAATGCTATTTTAGGGACAAGCTTTACTGAACAGAGAGAGGTTTGAGAGTAGAATTGCAAAGCCTAAAGAGCAAATAGAGACCCGCAGGTTCTGGTAGTAATGAGGCCCAAACATCTATTTTTTTTCCTTCCTTCCCTTCACATCCTGGATGCTTGGCCTTTGCCTCTAAAGGAACCTGGGAAGAAGCATGAAAGCATAAGCTGCTTGGATTTTGTCTCTAAAGGAACCTAAGACACATGAAAGCATAAGCTCTCTGAGACCAACTGTTTCTTCCTCATCTCTGTGTCCTTGGTTTGGCCTTGGTAGAAGATGGCTACCTGGGTTCCATTGTTGGCTGACTGACGTAAACTTCTGGGTCATTCTATAAAGCACCCTAATCAGATCTTCAGTGGATTTAAATTCAATAATACAGTTTTAAAAAATTTATGTTAATTTACTTGCATTTTAAATACGAGGTAGTCTTTCTATTTCTGTGTATTTAATGTCAAAATTCAATAGAAAATACAGCCCAACTCCTGCAAATTGCCAATTTAGTCCCTTCATTTACGTCTCCCTTCGGCTTGGAGACACTACAGTGGTTACACCCCATCTAGATGAAGGGCTCCTTAGGTAGCCTAGGAAAACGACTTGTCCCTATGGCCTCCATTGCAGAGCCAGACCTGAAGTTCCTGCCCCTCCCATGCTTTGAGTTCTCTAGAAGCCTCATTCAGCATAAACTCGCTGGGCTGGGTGGGGCTGAGAGGAGATCACTGTGGGACCCGAGAAACAGAAGGAAGGGAGCAGAAGAGCTGGTAGGAGAATAAATAGAACATGAATCTGATCCCCCTCACCATCGCTCCTCCCTGCCTCAGCACAGCAGAGTCTCCAGAAAGCACATTCAAAGCCCACAACTTCCCTTCCTGGTCTCCCCACAAATGAAGTGCTTCTCTGGCCATGGGTCCACGCCGGACACCACCCAACAAACATCGCTAACCTTCTAAGCCCCAGCCCTCTTAGCGTCTTTAGGGAAGCCCAGTGGCCAATGTCCCTTTTCCAGCTGAAGACAAATCCGAAACCTCAGGGGAAATTCCTTGAGACAGCACAGTGTCCTGGAAAGAGTCAGGGGAACCCTATCGTGATGGATGGTCACTGAGAAGTCCCTTAATCTGAAAGCCTCAGTTTCCTCATCTGTAAAATGGAAACAGTATTTTCACTATCCACCTCACAGGGCTGTTCGTGAGGAAAACGCTGTCAGATTGCTGCATAAAACTGTTTTTCCTCTCCACTTTCCTAGGACAAATGGGAAGTCCCTATTTGTCCCAAGAACGGAGAATCTAGCCAGTAGAAAGGAGAATAAAAGGTCCCCTTCAGTGCTCTAATCTAAGCGCGCGAGGTGGGGAAGAGCTTCGCTCGGGTTTGCATCTTCGAGTGTTCCCCAACAACTAACACTTGGGAACTGGCTACCTCCCTATGTCACCAAGCCCCAGGAAGCGATGCTGCTTTTCTCCACATTCACATAGACTGACAAAGCCGAGCTCCAGTCTCGGCTATATTTCCCAGGATCCAAAGGATTTAGGACCGGGAAGGACCTTTGTTTCGTCCTTCACACCACCTGATCCAACGCCCTCATCTAGCACAAACTCACCAGGCTCAGTCAAGATTCGAACTCGAATAAGACTGTGTTCCGCTGTTCTTTGCAGCCATCGAGGCTAGCCTCTAGAGAGGACACCGAGCTGTGGAGCCACAGCTGCCGGCTTCCGCCCAGTCCTGCCCAGCCTATTCCGAACTACCCCATCCAAACCCCAATCCGGCGCTGGGCGCCTGACCTCCACGTCTTCCCTCCCCCCCCCAAAAAAAAACCAATCCAGTCTATGCCTCCTTTTCGGCTCCTCCCGCCACCTCCCAACCCGAAGGAGTCCCAGCGCGGTCCGGCGCGCTCACGCTGCAACGCAGCCCCGCTGCTGTCCAGCTGTCCGCCCGCAGCGCCGGAGCTGGGGCCGCCAGGGTGCACCTCTAGCCTCCGGGGTGGATGTGTTGGATTCTTACCTCGGTTGGAGTGGGTCAAGGTGGAGGACTGAGAGGACTTGGGCTTCTGCCGCTTGACCGTCATCATCACCTGCTCCTGCACCCGCTGGTTGCCCGATGTGCCGGTCTTCATCTTCTGATCCGACGGCAAAGCCAGCGTGGAGTTGTCCTGGTCCTGGAAGCACTCATAGGCCAGGGCGGTCTTGAGCGGAGAGTGGTTCAGGGTCATGGTGGCTGGAGGCGCGGGTCTGGGCGTGGGGAGAGACCGGCAAGAAGGTGCTGCGCAGGAGGTGAAGTGGCAGCGGAGGGCGCGAGCTGGTGCTTCGTATCTCTCTCAGCGGCTCTCTATGTCCATAGAGGATCCCGACGACGTACCTGCTTCGGGCAGCTGCTACTTGCTGCCTCCTCCCTCGCCTGGCTCTGAGGAGACCCGCCCTCTGTCAGACTGGATATACCGCCGTCTGCCCTGCACCACCCACTCCCCTCCACTGTCTGGCTCCTGCTCGGCTCTCTATGCTCAGGTGCTGCAGGGCACCACCGGCTTGGGGAGCCCTCCCAGGGGCAGGGCTGGGTGTCCTGCTTGTGATTTCTTTTAACCCTCTCTCTTCTGTGTCTCCTTCCTTCTCCTAACTTGCAGGAAATTTAACGCGGGCAGAGAGGGTGGAGAAGGTGGCTGGGAGACAGCGCATGTTCACCCGAAAAGCTAAAAGGGATCGAGGGGAAACGCCCCTGGGGCCAAACCCCCGCCTGCTCACCAGGAAAATATGTGCATAAATGTGCGCTTGGGACATTCGGAAGCATTTCGCTTTCCTCTCTCCTGGCTTTGTCCTCTAAGGAGACACAAGCAATAAGCCCCCAAACTGAGTGCTCACTTTGAGCAAAGTCCAGCTTCTCTCTCCAAAGTCTCCTGGTCCGAGAAATCACAGATGGGGGAAATCAAGTCTATCCCCTTGGAGAAAATGGATTGAGGAGCTCCCACCCCCAAGGGCACCCAGTCTGTTATGGGACACATTAATTCAGCAACCACTTAAGTGCCTGCTCTGTGCAAGGCACTACTAGGCCTGGAAATTCAAAGATGAAAAAGACACAATCCCTGTCCTCCAGGAGGTTATGGTGTACACAGGATGATAGGAAGAACACATGGCTGAGGATAAAACTAGGTAGAGTGTGGTGGGCGCTAAGAGCTCCAGATTGCTTTCCTCCGGGATGATAAAGGCAAGGTTTACAAGGGAAATGGCTGTCGAACTGAGTCCTAAGAAATTGATTCTCAACAATGGAGATGGGGAGAGATTGCAGCAGTCTTTCTTTGTGTTCCCCGAGTTTAGCACAGTGACTGACCCACAGCAAAGAATTACTAAATGCTAGTTAGATGACTGATTGTAGGAAGCCTGTTTTCCCAGCGCTTGGGGTCTGAGGAAGAACACTCAATCTCTATTCTTTGGGAGCTAGCTGCCAATCAGTCCATCTGCTGGGAAGAAGGAAAGGGACATAATTAAATTACAGGAAATAAACATTTATTAAATACCTACTGTGTACAAAACCCTGTAAAAGGTGGGGACAGAAAATCAAAATTAGGATAAATACAAACTCTTCTGCTTGGCCTTTAAAACCATTCACAGTCTGACTCTAGCCTATTTTCCCAGGCTTACTGTACATTACTTCCCTCGGTTCTCAGCCTTCTTGCCATCCTGGACTGCCTGCTTGTCTTCACACACAGCACTCTAATTCTTTCCTTTGCAGTGGCTGTTCCCTATCCTGGAATGAGTTTCCTCTTTTACCCTGCCTCAAACAATCCCTAACTTTCAAGTTCTGATCAAGAATCACCTCTCACAGAAAACCTGTTTCCCATACACTCCCACTGCTATACCTCTCCTTCCCTTAAAAAATATCTTTGTACATGTCTTATATTTAATTTTCTATCTTTGCCTCACAGTGAAATGTAAGGTCCTTGATGGCAGGAACTGTTGGGGGGGGGGAGGTAGGGTCTTAATAAATACTTGCTGAATTAATGAGAATAATAAGATCCTGGTCCCTCGGAGCTTACCAGGCAGCAGAGTGGTAAGACAAAAATATGGATAATTCACATACAATATTACATGATCAGTGTATTAGAGAGGCACAAAACAAAGTACTAGGTTAGGAATGAGAAAGTCTAGCTCCGATCTCTCCTAGCTAATCTTCAATGAGTTGCAGTTGTAAAGGGGAGCTTCCAGTCTGATGAGAGAAACACTTTACCAAGTATGCAGGTTGCAAACTATTTATAGTCTTAGAGAGTTGCTTGAGGCTCTCAGAAAAGTCGTTAAACCAACAGACATCTGTTGACTGCTATGTGCCAGGCAGGATGATGGATACTGAAGATATAAATATCAGTGAGACAGACCCCTGCCCTGGAACAGCTCACATTCTACCAGAGAGAGACAGGATGTTCACAGATAAACACATGAGAGGAGAGGTAAAGGGTGATAGCTTGAGGGGATGATAGGCCCAATTGAAGATTTTTTTAAAGGAATCTGGCCATGTGTGAAGACAGCAGGAAAGAAGGCAGGGGGCAAGAAAACTTACTTAGTATCAGAAGCAGTCTGAACCCAAATCCAGGCCACTCTCCATTCCACAAGCCTATCTCCTTTCTACATTTGAACATAAAAATATTACAAAAGCTATATGCCATAACTATATAAAAATTGGAGTGAAAAATGCTTGCATGGGCAGGGGAACATCTAACAGAAAATCTGGTGTAGGCAGGTCTGAAATCGATCCACAGTCTAATACAATACACTTATTAAATAGCATCATTGTTGTACTGAAATTACCTCGTTTTTAGTACTGTCCCATAGCACAAATAGCATTAAAACAAGATTCATACTATATAGAGAGATAACTGTATGTAGTCACCTCCTCCTCTAGATGCAATTTCCCCGGTGAGGACCATAGATTTTCATCTGTGGAGATCAGTGCTGATCAAGTCCACTCTAGTGTATACAGGACAAGACAGAGTGGATTCTATCTCTATACTCTAACCAGTTAACAAATGACAGACAGAGAGTAGGGGTGTCATGATGGAGGGCACATTCAGGTCCTCAAAGACCAAACCAGATCCTAACATCACTAATGCAAATGACAGTCAGAGGTGGACATATATGTAGTAAGATGACCGTGCTAGAATAGCAGAGTGGACAGGAAACCTATTCTTTAGGCCTAGATAGGGTTAGTTCTTCCAGGAATTGCCCAAAACACATATAACATGTGATGGTGCTTTGAATGGGCTGAAATTTTCCTGTAAGGCGCAAGATGAGGATGGTCAGTAGACCAAAGATTATGGAGGACCACTTTTCCTGTTTCTAGATTTCCTGATTACATGTTACATGAAAACATTTCTCTGCTAGCTGGGCACAAAAAGGAAATGGTGAGATACAGAGAATTATTACCACTTCTGGGTGGTGCTTTTGAGTTCAAACTAAACACAACATAAGCCATTAAGGAAGGGTTAACAAAGTGTCTACCACCACTCTAGCCTTGTTGAAAGCATAGTTCCCCAAGGAACCTAAATAGCCATGGAAGTTCTTCATTGGAATCTTGAGCTTTGAAATGATAGGTGGAGTCTAGGGAGCCATTTTGCAGATGGGGCACACTCACAGATTGTGTGAAAATGAGGCATCCAAATATCAAGGTTCCAGGGGTTTTGGTTCTGTTATCTATTGCTAGACACACATAGAAGACCTCACAAGGTGGACAGCAGAGTTGTTAAACCAAAGAGCACTGCTTCCAGAGAGGATTCTCAAAGATCAGGTGCCCATTTAACTGTGAAAAGATCTTTGTGGGTGGCATTTTGAGGAACACTACTTGAAGAACAACTTTGAACGATATGGAAAGATTGAAGTGATGGACCAAGTCAGTGGCAAGAAAGAGGGGATTTGCTTTTGTGACTTTCAATGACCATGACTGTCATTCAAAGATACTCTACTGTAAGTGGCTACAATAGTAAATTAAAGAAAGCCTTTCCTACTATAAAAATGTGCATACCCTTTCATCCAGCAATAGCACTTCTAGGGCTATATCCCAAAGTGATCATACAGATGGGAAAGGGACCCACATATACTAAAATATTCATGGCAGCTCTTTTTGTGGTGGCAAAGAATTGGAAATTGAGAGGATGCCCATCAATTGAGGAATGTCTGAGCAAGCTGTGGTATATGAATGTAATGGAATACTATTGTGCTATAAGAAATGATGAACAGGTTGACTTCAGAAAAACCTGGAAAGACTTGCATGGTCTGATGCTGAGTGAAGTGAGCAGAAGCAAGAGGACTTTGTACACAATAACAGCCACGTTGTGAGATGACTAATATTGATAAACTTAACCCTTCTCAGCATTACAAGGATCTAAGACATCTCCAGAGGCCTCGTGATGGAAAATGCTATCCACATCCAAAGAAAGAACTATGGAAGTTGAATCGCTATCATTTTTTTCTCTTCTGTTGAGTTTTGTTTCCTCTTTCTGATGGTTCCTCCTATTGGTTTTAATTTTTACTTACAACTTCACTAATGTGAAAATATGTTTAATAGGAATGTAAATGTATAGCCTATATCAGATTGTGCACCATCTTGGGGAGGGTGGTGGGGAGGAAGGGGGAGAAAAATTTTCTACTCAAAAGCACATGGAAGTGATTGTTGATAAATCAAAATAACCTAATTAAATTTAAAAAAAAAAGAAAGCCTTTCCTAAGCAGGTAATGTTTAGTGTTTCATCTAGTCAAAGAGGCCAAACTGGTTCTGGGAACTTCAGTGGCGGCCATAGCAGTTTCTGTAGAAATGATAACTCCAACAATGGTATAAACTTCAGTGTTTATGGTGGTTTTGTCAGAAGGGGAGAAGTTACAATAGATTTGGCAATGACAGTGGCTCTGGAGGAGATGGTCCTCCTTACTATGGAGAAAACAAAGGTTATGGAAATGGTGAACAAAGTTGTGGAAACCAGAACAGTGGCTAGAATGGGAGTGGAAGCTATAATACTGAAGGAGGCAGAGGCAGCATTAGTAGTACAAGCTATTTTGTAGATTTCTAGGAGTTACAAAGACTTGGGAATCACAGAAATGTGTCTTCATAATTTGGTCCCACAAAAGGAGGAAAGTTCGGCAGCAGGCTCTGTGGTCCTTATGGTGAGAGCCAATATTTTGCCAAACCATGAAGCCAAGGTGTCTGTGGCAGCTCCAGTGTGGCAGTGGTTCTGGCAGTGGCAGAAAACTTTAATTACTATTAGGAAACAAAATTTAGCAGGAGAGAAGAGTCAGAGAAGTGACTGGGAAGCTACAGGCTACAACAGATTTGTGAACTCAGCCAAACACAGTGGTAGCACAGCCTAGCTGCCCAAGAAGACGTGTTTTAGATAATACTTTTTGTGTATGGGCAAAAACCAAACCAAAAACCAAACCCAGAACTACATTTGTGACTAATTGTATAACAGGTTATTTTAGTTTCTGTGAAAAGTGTAAAGCATTCCAACAAATGTTTTAATGTAGTAGGGTTTTTTTTTTGCACTCATGGATTACTAGATATAATTGCTAAATGTTTTAAAGACATAGACTAAACATATCTTTTTTATTTTTTTGGAGGCAATTGGGATTAAGTGATTTGTCAGGGATCACACAGCTAGTAAACATCTGAGGCTAG